ACAGTATTTTTACAGTCTTTATTTTACAGTTAAAATAAATGTTTATTAAATAAAGTCTAATGTTACAACTAATCGTGGATCCCTTCACTTTCCTTCACTTCATTTTTGGTTAAAAACAAGCAGCAACTTTTCTACATCCTTCATTTGCTACTTCTTTATATTTGTGTTTAGGGAGGAAAACAGGTCTAAATGAAACTTTATTTACTTTGTGCTGTTCTAGCTGTTCCTGGTAGGCGTCCATGTCTTTAGCTGCTGGTTCTGTTTCGATCCTTTTGATCCGCTCCTCCGTCAGTGTCAGCCAATCAGAAAGCTGCTGTAGCTGCTGCTGCTGAAGGTCCATGAGAACTTCATGGAGCCTGGAGAAACAAGCACATGGGGACATTTAGATCAGTTTATTCACTTTTAAATCGAAGCAATTAAATGATGCAATTTGGTAGCCTTTCTCCTAAAATCCAAATAACTTCAACATGTTCGATTACAAATCAAAAATAAAAGGGCTGAAGTAGGAGCAGAACTTGACCTGGCCTGGCGGTCCATGCTGGCCACTCTGAGGGATTCCCAGCGGGAGTTGAGGAGTGTCATCTGCTCCCGAATTTCATCCTCTTCCTCTTTTGTGAGGTTCCCCTGGGCAATCAGGTGGTTGCCTGCCTGCAGCACATTCCCCACACTGCTCTGATGAGCCGTCAGCTCCATCATGAAGGCCTTAAAAACAAGACAAACACATGGTTCCAGTACAGGAAACCACCGATTTGTGTCCGTGTTTTCATGCAGCTGACCGAAGCAATGAAGGTCTAACAGTGAAGTGTTTATAATCTGCTTCGATTTTTCTCCATATGTTTTCATTTCTAATACTTCATAACGACCACAAAGAGCAGAGGACCTCACTTAAATGTGTATGTGCTGCTGTGGCAACAATCTGCAAGCACAAACAGACAAATAACCCAGTTGTGAAACAGAAAAGTGATGAAAGCGCAAATTTGCTTTTAAGTCACTGTAGCAAAAAAGAAACATATGAATGAACTCCAGCTTCTGTGAGCACTTCGAATGAAAGATTTTTGACAGCAACTGCACGAAATCTTGTTTTGTTTTTGTTTTTTTCCCCCACCCTCCTGAAAAGCTGTTGAAGAGGCTTTGGATCTTACTGCTCCATATTTCCCCAAACTAGGTTCCTGCTTTGACCTGGATTCCAGTCATTCATCCTCACAAATATTCACACTGCAGCCAAGGAAATCCTTTCAAAGCCCTTTTACACACACACAGCACAGACACACACCGCGCTAATGCCAAGCAAACAAGCATGCTCCGGGCCGGGGCACTTCGGAGTGCTGCGCGGCACAGCTCTCGGGAGAATTCCTGGAATTCCCGACATGTATAGAGCATGTACTGCTGGCTGTGGGAGGCCTGTCTCTCTCTGCTGGATGCTGTTGTTCACCCCGATGAGGAGTGACAGGTACAAACAGTGAGCTGATGCATGGATCAAACGGGTCGTATTCTTTTAGGTTATTATGACTTTTAAAGGGTTAATTTTTGTTTTAAATATGAAGGCATTTTTGGAAAGATAGCATTGATAACTTGGTACCACTTAATAATAAAGCTCCTCTTATAGATGGCTTTTAAAGAGTTTATAGATAGGTTATTAATTCATCTGTAAACACTTTATAAATCATTAATCAATGTTTATTTTGCAATAACTAAGGAAGAGAAAGATAAAAACTGTCTAAAAAGAAACATTTATATCAAAACTATGTAAAAGTATTGGACTTTTAAATAAAGTAAAAAATATTTTAGAACCACCAACACTCCATACATTATATCACTCATTTGTTGCTCCTTATATGACCTATTGTGTAGAGCGGTGGTTCCCAAACTTTTTATCTTCTGACCCACAAAATATCCATGGCAAAAACTTGTGACCCCAAGTATTACTGGTCTGAGTACACGAACTTTGTTAATAACCCTAAAAACACAGGCTTTTTGACAATCTAAACAGCTTAAATGCAAATATAAATACTTATTTATACTTTCTTGTGTTTTTGTAATAGTTATAGGGAAAATATTACATAAGCAATTATTTTATTACCTTTAAAATTGATTTATGGAGATTTTCCAAGGTGCTTCATGACCCATAATTGGGTCCCAAGCCCAACTTTGAGAACCAAAGTGCAGTGGTTCCCAAACTTTTCAGCTTTTGACCCACAAAATAGTAGCAGAGACCTGAGCC